TAAAGGTATTACTTTACTATGCTTCATTGAATCAGGAAAAACACCAGATTTGATACTACTATTAAAAATAATAGATAGTTGAGGTGCGATTGTATCTATTATAGACGCGATAACTTTAACAGAAATCCCCCACAGATCGGCGGTTCTCTTAATATCAATAGTCTTAAAATATTTTACAATATCTTTTAATGAAACTTTATGAAATGTAAAATTCTTTGTACACACATTTACATTTTGTTTAAGTAATGATTCGGCGACGGTAGGAGAAGAATTCAGTGACTTAGTGGTTAAGATCGGAATATCAGTAAAATATTTCTCAAAAACCATTGCAACGTCCTGATCTGATTTAGTTAATTTATTGTTAAAACTTAACTGGTAGTTTGAATTACGAGAGTTGACCTTACCAGTTTCACTATTAATTATACTCCATGTCATTTTAATTTTATTAGAAGCAGTCTTTATTTTGTTGCTTAAATACAATGACTTGGCTAAGGAGCACACTCTTTTAAATATTTTGGAATATTTTTTTACATATTCCCTAAATTCGACGCTAGGATTATATGACCTTTCATTGTAAAGTTCATATAACCTTTGTCTACTTTTATGGACTCCTACTGTCGCTCATTCATTAAATGCTTTACGATTATTCAAGGAGAATGTTTTAGAAGTAAAAGTATTATTAAGTTCATTGCAAATGAGCTTAAATAATGTTGCATACAAAAAATATGGATTATTTTGGTATGAAAGTAATGGAAGTTTTTTTACTATGTTACTTCTAAACTTCTCCAAGCGACGTGCATTTACTGGAACAAACACTACTTTTTTAACTACTTGCTTTTTGTGAACATAAGGCAATGAAACAAATTGTCCACAGTGATCAAGCTCAATTTTTGAATTATACATTTATTGAACGGCTTAACATTTATAAAAATGTTATCTAAACATGTTGCACTAGATTCAGCAATACGTGTTGGCTCCAAAAATAAATTAAAAAGACCATAAGATTTAAACAATGATCTAAATTTAATATATATATAATAAGCTTCTAGGAGATTGATATTAAAGTCTCCACATATTACAACAGATTTAACAGTTTTAGTCAGAGATTTAACAGAGTTAACAGTGACGACACACACACGGCACTGATATAAAAGGTAATTAAATTCTATCTCTTACAAGGACCTATTTCATGTCCAACACACTACACATATTTCAGTTAAAATTACAATACACTACCCCTACCCCTCTCTCAAACGAGTTCTTGCTTTGGCGTCATTTTATTTCAAGATACTATGACGTCAATCATCATCATCATTACAGCCCTTCACAAGTCCACTGCTGAACGTAGGCCTCCCCCAAGCAATGCCACAAAGCACGGAACCTGAGCCACCTGCATCCATCGACTTCCTGCATGTCTTACCAGGTCGTCACTCCATCTAGTGGGGGGTCGCCCTACACTACGCCTACCGTGACGAGGCTGCAACTTGAGAACCTTTCTTCCCCATCGGTTACCGGTTCTTCGAGCTATATGGCCGGCCCATTGCCACTTCAGCTTACTAATCCGTTGGGCTATATCGGTCACTCTGGTTTTACTGCGGATATCCTCATTTCTGAGTCTATCATGCAGAGAAACTCCGAGCATAGCCCTCTCCATAGCTCGCTGAGCGACCTTGAGCGTCCTCATACGGCCAGCAGTGAAGGACCACCTCTCAGATCCGTAAGTCATCACTGGCAACACGCACTGGTTGTACACTTTAGTTTTCAGAGATCGAGGTATACCTAACGAGAAGATGTGTCGTAATTTCCCGAACGCTGCCCAACCGAGTTGAATCCGTCGATTGACCTCTCGGTCGAAGTTGGACTTACCTAGTCGGACTATTTGTCCCAGGTAAACCTACTCGTCAACAACTTCGAGCATAGTGCTCCCAGCAACTACCGGCATAGGTGTGATATGAACATTAAACATGATCTTTATTTTGTCCATGTTCATCTTAAGACCTATCCGTTGGGAGGCACTATTGAGGTCATTGAGCATAGTGCTTAAGGCCTCCAGCGATTCTGCCATAAGGACTATATCATCGGCAAATCGAAGGTGAGTGATGTACTCGCCATTGATGTTAATACCGTGTCCTTTCCAGTCCAGTAGCTTGAAAACGTCTTCCAACGCAGCGGTGAAGAGTTTCGGGGATATAACGTCACCCTGTCTTACACCTCTCTGCAGTTGGATAGGTTTCGAACTCTGATTCTGTACTCGGATAGCCATCGTAGCCCTACTGTACAAACACTTCAACACTTTGATATACCGACAGTCAACTTGGCATCGCTGAAGCGAATGTAGCACCGCCCAAATTTCGACGGAATCAAAGGCTTTCTCATAGTCCACATACGCCAGGCAAAGTGGCAGATTGTACTCTTCGATCTTCTGTACAATCTGCCGCAGGGTATATATGTGGTCTATGGTACTGAAGCCTTTTCGGAAACTGGCTTGTTCGGGAGGCTGGAAGTCGTCGAGTCTGCGTGCGAGACGATTCGTAATGACTCTCGAAAACAGCACGTAGACGCGGCTCAGAAGGGAAATCGGTCTGTAGTTCTTCAAGAGAGCGTTGTCGCCTTTCTTAAAGAACAAGACCACCGCACTTCTGCTCCACGCCTCCAGAGTAGTGCCACCATGGAGGACGGAATTGAAGAGCTTCTGAAGGACTTTAAGTACCGGTGTTCCACCCGCTTTCAGAAGCTCCACTGTAATTCCATCCTTGCCTGGGGCCCTGCTGTTTTTAAGGTGCTGGAGAGCCATTCTAATCACGCTCAGACTGACGTCCGGGATATCATCGGCATAGTTGCTCTTGGATCGTTACTCACACATGCGTGTGGCTCCAATGATGATGTGTCCCATAGAACTGTATGTCTCACTCAAAATCTCAGGTGTCCCGGAAACGATGCTGCCACACTCAGTCTTCAGCTTTGACAGTTGGCTTTTTCTGGCAGACAGATCTCTGGCAAAGACTTTGGAGCCCTGGTTGCGCTCGATCGCTTTTTTAATACGAGCAGTATTAAAGTTGCGTAAGTCTCGCCGCATGCATTTGTCTGTTCAGTTGCCTGTGTACTGTCAAATCTGTTGACGATTGCAGCCTCATCTCGCGTCTAACAGCCATGAGATTAAGAGTGTGATCGGAGAGTTTTTGTGTTCTTCTGCGGCGGGTCTTGCAGAACTTAGCTCCGACCGCATGGACAGTTTCCACGAGCTTGTCATTCATATCGTCCACTGCATTGCAATCTTTTAGGCACTGAAAGCGGTTACGTAACTCGAGCTGAAAGGTTTCGGGATTCTGGATTAGAGTACGAGGGGGATGTGCGTTGACTTCATTAGACGAGACCTCTCCAACTTAACGTTTAGGTTCAGTGTGCCTCTAACCATTCGGTGATCGCTGCCGGTTTTCATCCTTGCGATCACTGAGACATCACTGAACAGTTGGCGTCTGGTCGTCATAATGAAGTCAATCCCATTTTTTGTCGAACCACCAGGGCTCGACCAGGTCCACTTCCTGTGGGGCCGCTTCTGGAAGGGCCGCTTCTGGAAGAAAGAGTTCATTATAAAGAGTCCCTCCATAAAGTCAGCCAGCTGCTGGCCCCTACGGTTCCGTTGCCCTACTCCAAATTTCCCTAACTTCAGCTCACCGCCTTCTCTCGTGCCTAGTTTTGCGTTGAAGTCTACCATCAACACCGTGTGGTGGGTTTTGGAGGAATGCATGGCTCTAGAAATATCCTCATACATTTCCTCCACCTCCTCATCGGGATGGAGGATGGTCTACGCACCAGTAGACCTGTATGACCTTCAGCGAATACCGTTTGGTGATTCTGAGTATCAGGTACGCGACCCTCGTCGACACACTCCCAATATTTACAACGTTGTTGACGAGAGACTTGTGGACGACAAATCCGACACCTCCTTGGGATAGATGGTCGCCCTCCCGGTGATAGAACAAGTTGCCGGATTCGAGGATTACCGTATCCTCCCCCTCTCTTCGGACCTCAGACCATCCAATAACATGCCAGCGCAACTTGTCTACCTCTTCTTCCAGCTCCAGTATCTTCTCGTCAGTCCTCAGGGTGCGTGCGTTATACGTTGCCAGGTCGAGTCGTCGTAGGTGGCAACCGAACCTCCACCGGAGATTCTTAGCACCCACTGCCCTGCCGTTACCATGGTCGCCACCGTAGCCAGGAATAGCGGGGCCGCCGGGGACTGGGGGCCGTTTGTTTGCGTCGTTGCTCATGGGGGGATATTTGCCATAGTTGCCACGCTGGGCGAGCGGGTTGGCAACCGCAGTTTTTTATGACGTCAATACCTACCGCTATTCTCGTATTATTTTCTTTATTTTTATCTTTATTATTAAAATATATAGATAATGGCATTTTCAGAGCCCGCATAAATATTCTTTCATAAAAATTGACACGAATGTCTACTATCCTTTACTATGAATATATTATTTATATTTGTAGTAAAGGATATTATTTATATAAATATTATTACAAATACAAATTAGTCATTAAGCATATAACCTAAACAACTTCATAACAGTAGAGTAGTTATCAAGACAGTAACAGGTTTTTTATAGAATGAGGATGACAAACGAGCACACAGACCACCTAATGGTAAGCTTGGTAGATACTGTGTCGTATAGACATCTTCATCTAACCTCGATTAAGAAATAAAATGCAGCTACGTTGTCACCCCTGAGGACTAAGATGGAATGCCTCGTTTACAGTGAAAAGGGTATCCGGTTTTCTACACTCACCATACAAAACTCAGCAACATTAAGCTGCTTTTCACGCTGGTATTCCGTGAAACCGTTGTTCTTCCCTGATCGTGCTACAATCATAATATAACTGAAACATGGCTCTACCACGTAAATAAAAACAACCTAGATTTTTATATATCTTTATTAACGTTTAACACATGATGAGAGAAAATAATATTACAAAAAAATCTCAAAAACAAATATTTATAAGAAATGATCATATGGAAAGGGATAAACACAACAATAAGGCATTGATACATACTTCTCACAGCAGCACATAAAACGCTTTCTTCGTCTTGAAACGCCTTCTGCACATCGGCATCTTGTTCTATTTTGTTCTCTGTCTCTATCGGAATCTATGTGTAAAATATTTCTACAATCTTGTGAAATACCAGGAGCTACATTAGCTGTAGATGCGGTGCCGTGGGTGGGACCAATAGATGGTAATCTACCATCTTCCTGTTTTGCTAGATGTATATCGTTATTCAGTTCATTGGTATGTCTGTTGTCACTATCACGAATTGAATCATTATCAGGTTTTTGTTGTTGTAGTTGATTAAATCTGGCTAGATTATTAATTCTTCTATTTGTATTAATAGAAGTTGATTGAGTGGGAGACGTATATTCAATTTCACTTATTCCATGAAATTGTCCCGCATCGCTGGTGTTTCTAGCGGGACTACTACTTGATGGAGTGAAAAGTGAAGCTGTTTTAGGCGAAATTCTTGTCTGACAAGCTTTTGGACCACACACAGGTGAAGATAAATGATCTCCACGTGTATTTGGCCCCGGTAACTGACTTTTACCCAAAATTCCTTTTACTGTGGATCTTGCAATTGGTTCCAGCTTCATAATATTTTCTTCATTTTTATTTATACTTTTGGTTTCTTTAAGAATATCATGAGAGTTACTAAGTTGGTTCTGTCCATTAAATTGAACTTCTTCATTCGATTGGAGAACATTACCTTGATTAAATTGGTCATGTTGGACAATAGTTGAGCTAAATGGCAAATGCTTAGTGAATGACTCGTAGTCTAACATCTTTTCCTGCCTTATTTTTCTTAATCTATTGGCAAGTTCTTCAACCATAAAATTAATGTTTAAATCTTCGTCTCTTTCAAGGCCAGCTTGCCCCGTTGACAAAAATTTGCTTATCTCATGTTTCATATTTCTTTCAATGGACGGTTCATTTAAATCCATATGCATATCCATTTCATGTATTTTTTTAGAAAGTGTTAGTGTTAAAATTTTCCTTTTTATGGCAATAGAACCTTCTGCTGGTTCAATAGGCAGTTCATTATACCATTTTTCAATTTCATCGTTTAAGTGCACCAGATCAATTTCCTCTTTCGTAATATCATCATTAGGTATTGGAACATTTTTTAGCTCTTCATAAATAACATCATTTATTTCATCAATTGGTAAAAGTAAAAATGATTTCCCTTCACTTTTCTTGACCATGTTGTATACTTGATTAATATAATTCATTAATCGTTGAACATAAATTTTTACTTTTAATGGATTTTGCTCTTGATAATTTGTGGACACTAAAAAATTCTCAGCGGTTCTTAAAGCATTTAGCTGCTGTGCTTCATTATTTTCTATTGCGCTTTCTTGTATTAACCGGAATCTATTTAATACTCTATTTATTTTAATCATAAATTGGGTATCATCTTTTATTTTATGTATATGTTTTAGCATTTGAATAGCATGCATAAGTAATTTTGATTTCCAACCTTCTCTTATTTTTTTCATTTCCTCTGTTTGTGGTAATAGATCTAGAAGCCCATCGATTTCATCCTCTAAACAAATTTCAAAATATCTGTAATCGTTTTCAATATCGGGGTGTTGTTGTAACATAAAGAATATTTTTAAAATGTTGTGCAATACACCTTCTCGAGCCAGTTCCGCCAAATCTAATGTGGTCGCTATAATAGGTAATTCTTTACAGTGATTACGAAATACCTGAACATAATACTCGTGAAGTTCTTCCCTAGTCATCCTTTCTGATAATTCTGTAAAGCCATCTGTCTCTTGATTGCTTGGTCCTGCTTTATTATTAAATCTAATAATGGTAGATTCTCTATCAGATCGATTAGGTGTAGTCATATCTCTCATTTCAATATTGTTGAAATTTAAATTACGTGGTGAACCTAGATCACTATCAGTTTTGTTCGTTGATGTTAAGGCAACATTTATAAAACCCGACCTATTTCTAATATGCTCTACCTGGGTTTGGTTTTGCAATGCACAAGTTTCGTTTTTATTTATATTAATATCTTTCACAACCTGTCCTGAATGAGCATGACAGATATTTTCGTCGCAAAATGCTGCCCTTGAATATATATCCTCGATTATGTTAGTACTAGTTTGAGACACGCTCGATGAAGGCATCGGATTTGAATTTTTTGCAATATTTGTTTTTTCAATATAATTAGGAGGAGTTAACGGATAATGACGTAATTTTATTTTTTCAGTTGCATGCGACATCGAGATATTTATTAATTCCTGAATTAATTCAGATACCTTTGGTACTAGTTCAAAACTTTTATCATCATTCATCATAATAAACAAATGTTTATAAATTAAGTATCGGAGATAATCTATAATATTCTCATTTTTTAATGTAAAAATTGTTTGATTTATTATAAGAAGTTTTAATTGATCATTAATATCTTTGGTCAAGTTTTTTAAGATACTATCGGGATATTTGTTATTAATTAGTAAATTATTAATACCGTATTTAATAAGCCACAAATTAATCTTTTCTTCAATTTTTTGCAAAAAGCTGACAGGTTTTAGTTCCAATTTATTTTTATTGTTCTTAATGTATTGATTATTCATGCATATCATTGAAACTGGAATTGATGAATTATCGTTACTAAATATTCGAACGCCGCAATTATGTCGGTTATAATAGTACTCACATTGTTCCCCAATTCTTTTATTTTTTGGAATATTTGTTTCTTCCTTTTTAGACTTATTTTTTATACTCAATAAAAGCTTAGTACCACTGCATAAATTCATTTTATCTATTTTTTTTCGAGTAAGAATAGATTTATTTCGTGATGAGTCATGTAACCAGAGATATGTGTCTGAGAGGCATTTTAAGATCAATAGGTTAGTTGCGTTACGCACCTTTGGACGACAATTTTCATATTCGCATTCATTTTTTCTTGTACAGTATTGGTTCAAAAGCATGTTAGTGATGTACTTTGCGGGGAATTTTGACGACGATTGTATTTTTTTTAGAGCGTAATTAACGTGGATATTTTTAAATTCCAGGTCAATAGGATTTTTAGTCTTTTTGAATACGTTTTTATTTTTATCTAGAATATATGAGGACTCTCTTTTAATTGACATTTTTAGGACCTTAAAAAAACGTTGGTACTTTTTCACATAGCTAAGGAGGTAGGAAATCATTTTTTGACTACCACAAATCTTATTAATTATGTCATTCATTTCGTGATATTCGAAAATGTTATTTCGATTGCCCAAATGCTCTATTTTAATTTTAGTTAGAATATCAACTATGTCTTTTATTAATTTTGTTAAAATAAATTTAAGCACTTTATTTTCTTGCTTTTTAAAAGCTTGATATTCGAGTATATCAAATAATTTTTCAGTAAGGATGTAGTGCGCTTTAGGAAATCGTTCTTCTGATTTATTAATGCATTTGTGTTTTATATATTTTTTCCAAGCAATGTCAATAGCTTTGCCTGAATCGATCAAAGGTTTTTTACAAGCCGATTTATAATTCTCAATATCGTTATTTGCTAGTTTTTTGCTGGCAGAGTTTTTTGTTTTCTTAATTTTGAATATATGTTTAAGAATTTTTTCCATATTTCTTTTTCTTTTGCTGTGGTGTAAGGAAATGTCTAAAACTTTACAAACCAATCTTTTTATTTTATTTTCCAGTTTTTCTTCTCCTTTAGAAGTATTAAGCTGCCGTATCAAATTAAAAAGTTCGTGACAATTAAATCTCGGTTTACTTGTTCTTTTTGTTTTGTTTCTTAATGGATGACAAGGAAAGCAACATTTATTTTGGTTTGTTGTTTTTACATTTATCAAAAATTTTGATGTTTGAGTCGATCCAACACTTTGCTTTGGAATCGATTGTAAAGCTTTGTTACTTAACGACGTATTTTCACTGCGTATTTTTTCTAATTTAACAATGCCTAAAGCTGTATCATTTTCGACCGTGGAAACCGTTGTGAGAACCTGAGAAATAATACAAAATTACTGTGGTTTATTTTTACATAGGTGATGTTCAGCAACAGTGCCATGCCACCATATTTTCTCTAATAGCAGTTTATCTAAGAAACTAATACATATATAGCAATAATAAATATATGGAGTGACGACCCGGGAATACCTGTAGGAAATCGATTGATGCAGGTGGCTCAGACCGTGCTTTGTGGCATTCCTTGGGGGAGGCCTATGTTCAGCAGTGGACTTGTGAAGGGCTGTAATGAATGAATTATTTTGAAGAAATACGTCATAGCACGTATATTGGATTTAAAAGAATTAAAAAATCCGTTAGATATTTTAGTTTATCGAACTCATGACTTAGCAGTCCGTATCCTTAATAATTAGGTTATCATAGTTTTCATAATTTCATGTAATTAATAATTACTAAATACGTCAGATAGTTTTGACATAAAACTACTTTAAGCTGACCTAAAAAAATACTAGAAATACTATGAAAGTGCATCGTAATTTCCATTTTACCCTGTTGGTAAATGGCTACTGTAACTCATGGATACATACAACCAACTTTAGACAAGAAGCCTCTGGCAGACCTGTTGTCACGCCTCAAGCGAAAACGAAACCGATAGGACGACTTAAAGTAAAGTTTTACGTCGCTTTGCTTTACTAGTTATTTTATCCCCTATGAGGCAATCTATGGGGGAGACCCATATTCAGGAGTGGACTTAAATAGCTGTGATGAAAACGAAATAGAGGTACTGCCATCCTAAATGTGGTGGTTATATACTTTTGGGAACCTCAAAATATTTTTATAATTTTAAAAATCCTAACTCTCTCGGTATAATTTTTTGTATCCAAAATTTTTTAGATATACATAAGTCGTACATAGAAAAACCTTCAGACCCGGAACAATTATTTATAGACCATACCAAAAAAGTACAAACAATCGATCCACGCGGGATTCAAACCCGCGGCCTGGCAGCGCAGAATCCAAACGCTTAGCTACTTCTTCTTTCTGTTATATCTCGTAGTCGCCTCTTACAATACCCACGGGTTAAAATAGAGTGATGGGTTCGTTTACGATGTCACCACAGAATGAACCTGAGCAATTCGAAGGACTCTTCGTTATCATCTCAGTTGCGAGGGAAGACCTGTGTCCAGTACTAAAGATGATGATGATGAGATGTTTATTGTTATATTATTTTATTATAATCGGGTAATTTTACGAAGGCAACTTACGTCTTTATCGGTTTTATTTTGAAGGGTATCCTTGCACATGATGTCTGAAGCTGCAAAAAAAGACACTGAAAAGACCAAGACAGTGCGAGGCTGTTTTTGGTTGATAATTTCGTTTATTACGTTACGTACATTTTTTTCATAGAATACGGCTAACAAACCAGCACACAGGCCACCTGATGATAAGTAGATGCTGTGGCCCATAGACATCTACATTTATCCTCGATTAAGAATCAAAACGTAGATGCGTTGTCACCCCTGAGGACTACGATGGGATGCCTCGTTTCCAGTAAAAAGGGGTCACCGGATCTCTACACTCACCATATGAAACACAGCAGTATTAAGCTGCTATTTTAAGCTGGTATTCTGTGAGAGCGTGGTCCTTCCCCGGTCGAGCCGACCCATTCGTGTTACAACTATAATATAGCTGCAGAGTGGCTCTATCACGTAATATACGGTGACTTTTTTCACTTCAATTTTAACATCGTACGCTACTGGCATCCCCTTGAGGACTAAGACTCAGGGGTGATAACGCATATCTGCATTTTGATTCTTAATAGATGATAGATGTCTGTGGGTCACAGCATCCACTTACCATTAGGTGGACGTGTGCTCGTTGGTCATCTTTATTCTACTTAAAATTCCATGGACACCTACAATCTACTTCAAACAAAGAAGATTATAGATGAGTTGCCACCTCTGAAGATTAAGAATGAATGCCTCACCGCCTGTCATTATACTGGTTCTCAGATTGGAACCATCCAGACAGACTCCCAGGTAAAAAAGAATTCTACTACCACTAGGTGGTAGAACTGACCTTCTTACCGTACTTGTGTCTACAGTGTGTTCTGCAATGTATATTGGGGTTGAAAGAATATCCACTAACTCAAATCGTCCCGCTGGTGTGGCACCATCTTCACAGCATTTTCCTAACAACAACTAGATCCAAAGAAAAAAAAACTGCGGTTGCCAACCCGCATGCCAAAAGTGGAAAGTATGGCAAATACCCTCTTATGAGATTATCCGTGGGGTAGCCAGTATGTTCAGCGACGTTCAGTAGTTGACTTTGATAGATTGTAATTAATATGATTACAGAAACTGTTAGATCTCTTCAAAACATCGTCATCTATTTACCGTCATCTTATAACTAACGGTAATATTTGTAAGAATTATTTCGTCGGGTTTTAGCAAATAAGAAAAAAGTAACGTTATTGAGGAGGACATACTACGCATAAAACTTATGCGCGAATACAAAGATCTCTACATTAGCCCATAACAGTACACTTACAGAAAGTATTTTTTTCATAGAAGAAGAATGACAAAGAAACACACAGTCCACCTGATGATAAGTGGATGCTGTGGCCCATAGACACCTGCATACTCAATTAAGAATCACAATGCAGATGCGTTGTCAGCAGTTTTCACATTTAGTATAATTTACTATAATCGTCACGCTCGCAGTCAATTTTACTTATTTTAAATAATGCTTAAAGTAATGATAAGGCACTGGCTTCATGGGTCCCATGACTGGACACAGGCCGCCTCTCATTTGTGAGAAGATTGCGCTGTGGCGTTGATTGAATTGGGCGGCATTTTTGGGGGTGAAAAAAAGCTTCATTACATTTATTTAAATTTGAGCTCTTACTGAATCTTATTACTGGAGTTAGTATATATATATATATATATATATATATATATATATATATATATATAATACACATTTAAAAGACTTTTACATGCATTTTGGCTCCGGCAACCCCGGGCGGTAGTTACCACTTAGTACAAAAAAAAAAGATTAAACACAATTTTATAGTTTTAGCTCCTTTGTCGTATCATAAAAATGATTTACATAAAATAGTCTATTCTTGATTTCTGTTTTTAAATACTTCTATGTTTCAATGTTAATAATATCCCAGTTTCTAACAGGTCTGCGGATATAAAAAGTATCGCAAGCAAATATAAATTTTTCAGTTTGATCATATAGGATAAATTTAGGCTAATTTGTTGCAAACACGCAAAATACGATTTATGGTGATTGTGATCGACATGGTCACGCACAACTCGTAATAAATCAAACTAAAGCTAAACAAAACAAGCAGGATATTTCTAACTACTGGTTGAATGCTGAAAGTAAACAGAAAGCTACAATTAAAACTATTTAAATAGTTACTTTGTGTCTTTATATTTGCCCGATGGATATTCAGTGTCCGACATCGCGACTCTTGACGCTGAAGAAAATTCAAAATAAATTTGAGAAAATAAAATAAAAAAGAACAAGGTGTACACCAAAACAATATTATATACTATGTATTCCATTCCAATTTTCTAGGAATATCTAAGAGGTTAAAAATTCCAAACTGATATATCTTATTTAAATTAACGTTAGCAACCTATTAGATATTATTATTAAATTAATTTTGAGTTACTATCACAATTTACATCTTAAGACTGTTTATTTGTGTCTTTACTGATTATCTCAGCACTACGACACCCATATGATATGGTATGGGATATACTTCCATTGCCAATCTATGTCCTTATAATCAGAATGTATTGGAATCCCAAGACTATATAAGAATATAACAGCGGAACTATAGTCAACCAAATCTAAGAAACACATTTTGACAGCTGTCAGACTTATTGCACCAAGCATGCCAACCAAAAAATGGGAACGTACAGTATTCGATTCTTAAAAAATCGATATCGATTATTTAGAGTTGGTAATCATTTAGTTAGGTTTGGATAATTTAAAACACAAAATTTATCAGTTTCTTCGTATTTGTTGTTACTGCTTATTTATAGAGGCACAGTTATAAAAATTTAAGATTGAAACTAGATTAAAGATAAATTTATTCAATCACTTTCAGAAAAACTAGTAGATATGTCGTTGTTTATATTAATTATTATTTGATTTTCAATAATGCAGTCAAAATTTATGTCTCTTTCAAAGTCATCCATAATCATTTTTTATTTTTTTTACCACTTTTGCACAATTATTCTTTGTGACATGGACACATGCTTCAACGAATATATTTTTTATAGCATTGGATGACAAACGAGCATACAGTCCATCTGAAGGTAAGCGGATGCTATGGCCCATAGACATACATATTTATTCTCAATTAAGTTCTTCTATAATAACTTTAATTAAAAAAATTACAATATGCCAATAATTGTAGGGAGCATTAAGCTCGAATTTGTTAACGAATATTTCCAACTTCGAGCGAGAGGTCAATCGACAAATTCAACTCAGCTGGGCAGTGCTCGTGAGATTATGACACATCCTATCGATAGACATACCTCAAAACCCCGAAACTAGATTGTACAACTAGTGCGTGTTTTTAGTGATGGTGAATGATGATCTCAGACGTGGTTCTTAACTGCTGGCCGTCTGAAGAAGCTCAAAGTCGCTCAGCGAGCTATGGAAGGGACTATGCTCGGGGTTCCTCTGCGTGATAGACTAAAAACGAAGACATGCGCAGTAGAACCAGAGTTACCGACATAGCCTAACGGATTAGTAAGCTAAAGTGGCAATGGGCCGGCCATATAGCTCGAATAACCGACAACCGATGGAGAAGAAAGGTTCTCGAGTGGCTTCCTCGTACCTGTAGTTTAGGGCAGCCACACTAGATGGAGTGATCTGGTAAGACATGCAGGAAGTAAATGGATGCAGATAACGTGTTTTGTGGCGTTCTTTTGGGGAGGCCTATGCTCAGATGTAGGCCTCCCCAAAAGACTTGTGAAGGGACGTAATGATGAATGATAATTATGATGTTTTTAATCGTTATAGCGAGATTTGTTATCACTTCAGTTAGTCAAATCAAACTTTAACTTACCTTTAAGTTTATGAGACTTAATGAGATACTACTACTATATTATTAAAGTAGCTTGCCAGGCAGACATTGTTTTGCCCTTTTCGACGAAAATTTGTCATGTCCTATTAAAAATCCTTAAATGCGCAAAAATAAATTGTGGGCAAAAAAATATCCTATCTTTCAACTTGAACCAAACTGCACACGGTGCGCAAATTTGATTAAAATCGGATTAGTAGTTTAGGAGTCCGTCGCGGACAAACAACGTGACACGAAATTTATATATTATATTAAGATTAATACATACACAAAAATGATTTATGTTTTCCGTAGAATTTTCAGAAGTTTCATGTAGAAATCGTGCTTCAAAATTTTTGGAGAGTTGACCGTGTTTACAGTTCAGAAAATTTTGTTCTTGTGACCTAGAATCTATATCTCTTGTTGGCGAATCTTCGTTAGACCATTTTGTTATATTTGAATTGATATTTCTATAGCTTCTTTTCGGTGAACTATTCCTTTGTTGGTGACCTCGATAGCATGAAGTTACGTTTTCGTTGAATTTTGAGCGGTTGTCTCTTGATACTGGAATAGAGTGTATATCCTAATAAAATATGTAATATTTTTATCATACTCGAAAGTGTCACGGCCTAAATTATTTAAGACTAAGCCATCTTCTTACGTTAGTATTTTAAGCCTAGTTTGGGGTGGTTAAAGTAAATGCTAGTAATGTCATTCGCATTGCTATTTAAAAAAACTTTATTAAATATTTCCCTACGTTATTACGACATTTTTATAGCAGAATATTGACGATAGCCAGTCTGTGATTTGTCTATCTAAATACTCTAAAATCAGCGGTTTACAGTTCAAGAAGAATTCAAATTATTATCAAAATTAAAAAAAAAATACGTAGTGTTAAGTCAAGTTTTATCAATCCCTGACTGCTATTTAATTTAGTAAAGATAATACTTTCATCATTTATATAGTGTGTGTAAAAAAGTAAAGTTACAGCCCATATACGTCCCACTGCTGGGCACAGACCTCCGGTCATTTCCGAGAGGGTTTTAGGGTAAGAAATTGTCCGCCGCGCTGCCCCAATGCGTGTTGGCGAACTTTACATGTCTTCGAAATACTTTTTTTTCTTATTTCTCTGACATGCAGGTTTCCTTACGATGATTTCCTTTATCGCCGAGCACGTGGTATATCAGCACATAAAATTGCAATTAACAATTTCATTGGTGCCGGCGGGGATCGAACCCGGTTTGCTCACGTACTGTGAAATTTACAGCGAGCGCTAACCATCTGAGCTACCACGGCTCAACAGTGTGTGTAGTGAGTCAAATATCATTCCGTGTAGTAAGAGGCGATAGAGTAACGTGAAGCGGGAGATGAGCCGCAGCTGATAAGAACTTTACATCACAGTGTCCACTTACCATTATATGAACTGTAACATAGCTTGTCACTTTTGCTTCTAATAAAAATAACAAAAATCACTTACAGCTTGTAGTTTTAGAAAAGCTAGTCAGGCGTTCAACAACATCTGAGGATCGTTCTGGTGATAAGCTTGGATATTTTCTCAAAGAGTTGGCGAACACGTCTGACTTTGTAGAAGCTCTGGATATAGGGGTTGAATCTGCAGAACGACGTATTCGAAGTTGGTTAATGTTATTTATTTTATTCTTTATTGCACCAAAGATTTTGTACAAAAGGCGAGCTTAATGCTATATGGCATTCTCTACCAGCTAACCTTGGGTAGAACAGAGAGTGAGTTATAGGCAGTAAAGTTGTCATGATCACATTCAATTCAAAAATGTACATGCCACATACGTTTTTATATATATATATATATATATATATTAATAAAATAACTATAAAAATTTAAAATTTTAAGTGGGCTCAAATTTGTTGGTTACGGATATATATTCGTATAGTTTTCTTTTAAAAACGTTTTTAGCAGGTATTATTCGCAGGTCAACAGGCAATTTGTTCCAGAGGGAGGAAGTAACTGTGAAAGAATTTGACATAAACCTAGAATGGTGGAGAGGAATAGACAGTAATAAATTGTGTGAAGATCGGAGATTGAGAGAATGAGTGTTACTACGGAATTGGTATCTTACTTTTAGGTAAAGGGGTGAGGAAGAACCATTAAGAGCTTAAAACAGAGAGGACAGCATTCGAAAATCTCTGCGCTGGCGTATAGTCACGAGGAAGGCCAAAGATGAATCGTATGAAGTTGTTAAGTAACCTGTCCAACCTGCTTAGCAGCTTCTGAGAGATATTAGAGAGACAAATATCGGCATAGTCAAATAATGGAAGAATTAGAGATTGGATGAGGAGAAGCTTAGTTGAAGGAGGCAGAAAGAACTTAAGACGATAGATGGATCGAAGTATGCCTGTGACTTTACGACAAATCTCGGACACCTGTAACTTCCAACTAAGGGTCGGGTCATTAATTAAACCCAGATCCTTGACACTAGTGCGGAAAGGAATTACACAGTTTTCGTAGCGAATGGATGGTAGATCAGGTATGTTAAGTTGTGACAACAATCGACGATTACCAATGATAATAGCCTGGCATTTACTGGGATTTACCGTTATATCAAATCGTTGTGACCAGTCTGAAATGCGTTGTAAGTCCTGATTAATAGCTGCAATAGCGGTAGCAATTTCAACTGAGGACGCTTATGAGTATAACTGAAGATCGTCAGCATAGAGGAGTTAAGAACATTGAAGGTGGGTAGTAAGAAGATTAATACACAACGAAAACAAGAGAGGAGAGAGAATGCCGCCTTGCGGTACACCTAGATATAGATCGCACCAGTCGGAAAAATCCTGATCAGCCCGAACAGCCTGCTGGCGACCGCGAAGATAAGAGGAAAACCAGTTCAGTACTGACAAGGAGGAGTTTAGGCGTGAAAGTAATCCAAGGAGTAAGTCGTGATCGACACAATTAAATGCGTTTGAAAAGTCAATAAGGATCAGAAGAGTCATACATGACCTCTCCATGCCCTCTTTAAAATCTTCTGTAACTTGTAGTAACGCTGTGGTGGTTAATATGTCCCGTGCGGAAGCCAGATTGATATGTACTAAGGTAGTTGCGTTTCGAAATGAAAGAGGTGACTTGTTTGGGTACCAATGATTCAAGGGCTTTGGAAAGAAACGGCAGTATAGAAATAGGTCTAAAATGGGAGGGTAGGGATGGATTGGGTACTTTAGCAAGAGGCAAGATAAAAGCTTTTAGCAACTTTTAGTACTTGGGGAAAATACCAGTAGAGAGGGAGAAATTGATGATGTGAGTGAGAACTTGAGTAATAATATCGAGTATGAGAAGTATCATAGATGTACTCTACCTCATCATAGCCGGTTGCGGAAGATTTTATTGAAAGTATGGCTTTTCTAGTATCATCGTCAGTCACTGAACTGAAGTCGAAAGAATTACATGATAACAAAGGCATGGAATTAAGTTCCTGGAGAGTCGTAGCTGTGGTGGACAAATGCAGACGTGATGCAGAAGAGAAGTGTATGTTCAAGTCATTGAGTGAAATATTTGGGATTAGAGAATTGGAATGTGATTTTCCAAATCCCAGGGAATTAAGGAACTTCCATATATCTGCAGAAGAGGAGTTTGAAATACTATTGTGGAAGTAGCGGCGTTTGGCTGTTCTTACCACCTGATTACAGCGGTTTCGTGCTCGCTTATATTGTTGAAAGGTGGAACTGTTCCGATTCTTTTTAAAAATGTGAAAAGCTCGATCTCTTCTTCTCATTGCTCTACGCACTTCGTCAGTTATCCACGGTGCAGGAGGTCGGCGTAACCTGACAGCTCCCACTGGTGCGTGTCTATCGAATAGGTTGAGAATTAGGGTGTTCAAATGAGCAATTTTGTTTTCAATATTATTTACATCCACCAAAAGGGCCCCATTCTATATTCTTAGCATCGCGGTATAGTCGAATGGTGTCAATTTTATTGAAATTGCGTAAATACACAATCACTGGCTTTGCTTGGGAAGCTTTAATTTATACAACATGACCAAAAGATCGTGTCGAGAAAACGCGGGAACAGCCAGTTGATCATGATATATAACATGATCCGCTGAACTAGTGCAAATGATGTCTAACCATGAATCTTCAGTGTCCACTTTGTGGTGAGTTGGACCAGATGGTAGAATATAGAGATTAAAACGCTATTTTATGTGTATGTCATAATATGTTAAGTAAACAAGAGGTAAAATTAAAAATTTTGTACAACCGACTTCAATACGATCAAATCAATGTATTCGAAGTTAAATACGCATTATTAAAGATAATTAAAAACAGCTGGCCAGATCTTGATCATCTTAAATTTCAGAGAGAAGTAAGTAAGTCAGATTGAGGAGCACCAGCTTTCAGATAATAAAGAATCCTCAAAATCGGTTCACCCAGAGAAAAGTTATAAGGTAACACACATAAAAAAACATACAGTCGCATTGAATACCTCCTCCTTTTTTAAGTCGGTAAAAAGTAAAGCTACAACATATTATACATCCCACTGCTCTCTTTTCTGAGAGTTTTTAGGCCAAGAAAGTGATCGTCGCGTTCTAATGCGTGTTGGCGAACTTCACGTGCCTACGAATTTTTTTTTGGTCCGGAGGGAAAGAACCCTGGTTGCTCGGGTACTGTGAAAACTACGGCAAGCACCTTAGCCTTTTTTAATGAATGAGGATGACAAACGAGCACCCAGTCCACCTGATGGTAAGTGGATGCTGTTGACCATAAATATCTATATTAATTCTCGATTAACAATTAAAAATCAGCACATAAAATTGCAATTAACAATTTCATTGGTGCCGGTAGGGATCGAACCCGGTTTGCTCGCGTAACGAGTGTGAAATTTACAGCGAGTGCTAACTATCTGAGCTACCACGGCTCTTTTCCATTTATCGCGTACTCGGCGGTAAAGGAAAACATCTTGAGGAAACCTACATGTCTGAGAAATAAGAAAAAAATCGAAGAAATGTGAAGTTTGCTAACACGCATTGGGGCAGCGCGATAGACACTTCCTTGCCCTAAAACCCTCTCAGAAATTAGGGGAGGCCTGTGCACAGCAGTGGGACGTATACAGGCTGTAACTTTAACTTTAACAATTAAAATGCAGGTGCGATGTCACTTCTGAGGACAAAGATGGAATGCCTCGTTTCCAGTAAAAAGGGAGTCCGTTTTTTATCAAACCTTCGATCTCTACACTCACCATACGAAACACAGCAGCATCAAGCTGTTATTTTACGCTGCTATTCTATGAGAGCGTGGTCCTTCCCCGGTCGAGCCGACCCATTCGTGCTATATCTATACTACTAATATAACTGCAGCATGACTCTACCACGTATAAAAATGTATGTTCTTAGACTGGAATAACTGTGGACCGGCGAAGAGCTGCAGCGTCAAAGATGCTCCCGTCGAGTACTGCGTTCGTACATCCACCTGTCAAGCTTTACTTTTTGCGACACCACGTTTGATAACTAGTAATGTACCTATGTACAAATAACGTCGCTTTTATAATTCCGAAGGGGATCAGAATTACTCCACCCCTCCCCTCTGGATTCTATAATTCAATCAGAGTTCTATAATTAAGTCCAAAGAACAGCGAGTAACTCTGACCACTTTTAGCAAATGATAAATATATTAACAAGCAACAAAAACCTTAAACAGGAAAATGTGTGCAGGGGTAATCCATGACTTAATTACTCCCTTCTATCATCAGATTGCCAGACGCTCAGCTTTTTGTTGTTCTGTTGTCGACATACCGCGCATTCGAATCAAACGGTATGCTCCATCGTTCACAATGAGTGCAGTTAAGGAATAATACATTTCAACCGTCTGTCTTTCCATCCGATCATCATGTGGGTGTTTTCAAAGCAAGAGTAATAAGTCTTTAGTTAATGTAAGCACGAGCACTGGCTGACAATAGTTAAAAAAATAACAATACCATGAAAAAAGTATAAAGTAGACCAGAAGATAGCAGCATAGAGTACAACAGAATATATACCATAGAATACTATAATAAACTATAGAATGGCTGTCAACCTTATTTTGTACGAGATTCGGCGTCGCCGGGAGCACATTACAAGCAATTACGTCGTTAATCACTACTACAAACCCGATTCGCTGTGTAGACAGACGGATTTGAATACATATTTATTTGTAAATAGCGTGCAATTTGGCATGTTCTATGTAATTTGCATGCGAAATTTGGAAATGATTGTAACGTCAAAATACATTTCGTGTGGACATTTATACGTGTGAATTGACGTGTTAGTGACATTTTAGTGGCTACACGGACTCCGCCCACTCCCCCATTCTATATATATTATACATTTTACATATATTATGTATATATTATAGTATTCTATGATATATACAGTACCATACCTCTATAAGGCCAATTTAAGGTGCTCCTGGAATCATGAGATCGTGCAGAATAAAAGCCACCACTGCCAGCGCCTCCCACTTCAAAATTTTCACAACCTGTTTAGAGAGAGTACATTTGTCGACTTTATTACTGTGCCTGACCAAGAAAAGAATACGGTTTCGTAGCACAGTGGCTTAAATGATTGGCTGTAGCTCTGCGGTTTTGAACCCGGCACAGAACAAACATTCCTATCCCAATACAACTTTAGGACTGGATGTTTGTACACGTGCAATTATATGTAAAAAGCGTACACAATATAAAAGAAATTCCTAGTGTAACGTTGCTTAACGTGTTGTGCGGGTAACGAAACGTCTTTTAAAAAAATAAAAATATTAAACAATAACTTTACGGACGGAAGCGTTTTTTGTGTACTACAAAAAAACCCACAAACGTATATTATGGTGGTATGACTCTACCTAAGGAATGAAATTAATGCACTAATTTTACTAATAATTGTATCTTTTAAAGATGAAAGAACAATATTTAAGTCATCTCCTTGACAAATAATATAGTTAAATGTTTGAAAATCGAATGTATCATGAATATCTTTAGTGTGTTGAACAAAATCAGCATGCAATATTAAATTTACTTTAAAAATTATGTGTTGATGAATACACTCTTGCATTCAAAATAAAATATCATCTTTAATAGAATTTAAAAATAGTTCAGGAGTTTCAAAATTTATCCGTATCGAACGATCCACTCTACTCTTGATTTTATAAGTTAAAATCCCATTTCCAAAAGCAGATTCAATAACACTAACGTTTGATAAAGAATTATGTGAGGTTAAAAGATTATTTTATTACTTTTAAAATGATTAGCTAATTACCTTTTCTTGATAAATATATCACACGTTAGACATTCCACTTGATCATTGTTACCGACACTGTTCTCTGCAGATACTATACTCCTAGTTATTATTTCCTTTCTATCTAAATGTTATTTAAAAAAAAAGTATACCATTCTTACTTGCTTGTGACTTCTAGTATAAAGGGGGATGAATAGAGAGCCAGTGTATTTACAGGCTGTGAGTCATTTCCCCTCAGTCCTCGAAGGTAGCAACGCATTTGTTTGAATAGAAAACAGAGACCCATAGGCTGCAGTAGTCACTTATCATCAGATGGACTGTAAGCTCGACTGTTGCTTTAATTTTGATAAAAAAGTACATATTTGAATAATTTTGTGGCTGCGCTGTCGTCGCGTCACACGCAAAAACGCACCAAAGTCTAAGGCCCGGTTTACATTTTGAGAAGTGATGAGTGCGAGTGGCAAGTGCAACTGACAAATGACAAGTGCTTAGGGCGTGTGAGCAGGCAGTGACAAGTGATAAGTGGGAATAAAATACGCACTCGTCACTTCTCATTTGCCACTTTTTACTCGACATTCGCACTTGTTACTTCTCAAAATATAAACCTGGCCTAAATCACGCTATCAAAGTTCTGTGGTACTGCGATATATAGATACAGAATAGCTCTCAAACTATCTCCTTTTTTCCGACAACAGCCACATATTAATTCATACGTTTTATCAGAATCAGTTTCATTTCGTGGATCATAGGTTACATAGATGTTAGATAAATAATTATATAGTCAAGTTCAACTATGTTCTACCCTGTGGGCAAACAAAGTACAATATTTTTTGAAATAAATTAAAGAAAGTACCTAAAATAATAACAGTATGAATGCGAATGCAACATAAACAAAACATTAGTGGATATAGAATTTGAGGGAAAAAAAAGTTATTTTAATGAAAGTATTGAAATACAAAAAAAAGTTGATATTAAACAACGGTTCACTCACCCGGTTGAATAAGTGTCCGCTGGGGCGGAAACTCGGTCAGTTCGGGCTGGGGAGACGTTGGCTTCTCATGGCAATATTCAACCTACATACATATTTATTACCATTACCTATACATATAAAATCTGAAGTGTCCATTATTAATATCGAAATAATTACCTTATTCTTATTAGTTCTTATTATCTCTCTCGCTCTCTTATTATTAGTTCTTTATGTGGTAGAGTCACGCTGCAGCTATATTATAGTTGTAGCACGAATGGGTCTTCTTAGTCTACAGGAGTGACAACGCATTTGCATTTTGGTACTTAGTTGAGGATACTCGTAAATGTGGATGCTTATGGGCCACAGCATCCACTTACTATCAGGTGGACTGTGTGCTCGTGTGTTATCCAACGATATGAAAAAGGGGGTTATTGGTATGTAAATATCTCCAATAATACACACTTTAAAAAATTGTCTGTTTCTGCGGCCTAATCTTCGGATTGGTGGACTGGACTGTAATGAAACTTCACTAACAGACGGTGAGCATTCTCAGGAGTGATCTAGATAGACTATATTTAATACGAAAAACTCGGGAGTTTAAAGAAAAAGAAAATTTGATAAAATAAATGGTTTTTGAAAATTTTAAATCCAAATTATTAGATCTCACCCAGGCGAAGTCAGGGAAGGCTATCTAGAGTCTGTATTCACCGTCTTTCAATAATCGTTACAAGCGATATTTGATAGCATGAATACCGAACAACTTACCTTATAGGTACTAGCGTACTGAGCGTCGATCGCTTGCGCGCCGATGTCGCGTCTTGCTGAATTCGCGCTGATATTTCTTGAGTACTCAGAATGTCGGGACGCCGCATTGTTGCCTACAATGTCGCACGGTTGCGTCGATGGCGAGTAGATTTCTAGATATAAAAATAATACTTAGTATATTTCTTCATATTGAGTCGAAATTTTCAAAATTATGTATTTATTTCAGCACTTTAAGTACTTTGTCAGTTTTCTTTTTTATACTTAAAAGTTAAAGTTAAAATTACTATCTATTTACGTTCCACGGCTGAGCACCGGCCGCCTTTCATTTTTGAGAGGATTTTAGGGCAAGGAAATATCCGCCGCGCTGCCCCAATGCGTGTTAGCGACGTTCACATATTATCTTCGAAATACTTATTTTTTCTTATTTCTCTGACATGCACGTTTCATCACGATGTTTTTCTTCATCGCCGAGCATGTGACAAATTAGCACCTAAAATTGCAATAAACGATTTTATAGGTGCCGGCGTGGATCAAACCCAGGTTTTTCGCGTACTGTAAAATTTACACCAAGCGCTTAGCCTCTGAGCTACGACAGCTCTTTATACTTGTTAAGCTAGACTCGGAAGTTAAAATCACTTGAGTCAAATCTTTTTGCATGCAAAAATTTTACAGTGGAGGGTTATATTCGATTGGTGTGAAAAAAATGTAGTACGGTTTTTATTTTTATTGTTTTTTATTACATAATCACGAACTAGTTACACGTTAAATTTAGTATATTTCAAACTTATTTATTATTATCTGAAATATATGACTTAAGTTTTTATGTGAGCAAAGAAATCGCAACTTAAGTGGTTATTACTGTACCATACAACTACGTAGCTTATTAATGTTTAAAAATATAAAAATGAACTATCTATCTAATAATATTTAATAATTATAATAATGCTTATTGGTTAAGTTTTTATAATAAACTAAAAGCTACTTTCTTCAGAATTTCATATGTCTGGATTAACGTCAGTTGTGTCTGTAGCAGTTACTAAATTCTGGTAAACATTTTGGAAACATTCCGGTATTAAAGATAAAAGTGATATTATGTCACGTTTTTTTTTTCAATGCTTATTGCTACCGGCTTTGCAGTAATCTGCATCAAATTAAATTCCTTTTATCGTCGCGTGTTCAGTTTGAAATTAATGGTATTGAAACATTCATCTCTTGACAGACATTTTTTGTATTTTATGACGTCATACTCAGCTTCGTAACACAGCCACTTCACATCATGCCATTTGAAAATATTTCTACTTCTACTAACGACCCTTTCAATAATCCAGCGAAGTCAAAAAAATTTGCTTGCCTCATTTCTTTAACTGTCATTTTTTTGCTGCTCGACCTGACTAATTGCATCCAATCATGTGGATGATAAATTTCAATTTCAGTTTTTTTCTTTTTTTTCTATAATTGCATGGTCCAAGTCCACCTCCATATATGTATGACCTTGTTGGGTACCATAGTGTGTCATTAATTTATGATTTATTAACTTAATACAGGGTTTTACTGACAACAAGTAGGTAAACATTGCAGCCACATGGGTGTTCTTATTTTGTCCTCCGCAAGTATGAGAGTACAAAATTACTTCTGAAACTTCTTCAGGAAGTTCTTTTAAATATAAAAACAAACAAGAGGCTATTTGATTAGCTCCTCGACCCGAAATTCCCTCATGCCACATGTGGTGCGTTGACATTCCAGTTCCGTTGTCATGTATCGTAAGATTAAGGGTCCAAAGTTGTCTTTTGTAAAAGGCTGCAGATGATTGCAAAGCTGGGATTGGCAGGCATTGTTGTAGGTCAAAAGACAGACACTTGATTTTTTATCTGTAACTGCGGTATTTTCGTCAAATTTCTTCTCATTGTAAGCCATATCAGCTGCTAGCAAGTGTGTGCCGTTCTGTTTCAAGAGCAGATTTTTTCGTCTCGTCCGTAGCAATGTTTAATTTCATTTTAAACAGGTGGCAAGTGTGACATGTGTCCACTTTTGGTTTTTTGAAACTTAAATTTAATTTGTGGAATTCTCTACGGTAAATCTTGTCACTTACAGGATTTTCATGTAAAATTGAAAAAAGAATACATTTTTGATATTGTCAAATGCGATGGTAAATATTTCCGGGTGTTTTTGCGTCTAGTGATATAACTAATCGCCTCTTCAATTTTTTGTACAGAACGTTTGTTCGGTGGTGTATTTTTCCCACGTCTGTTTTTATAATTCCACTTGAGCTGATACGTTTCTTCAACCCGATTAGTTTAACAAAATGATCACTTATTGAGAGGGTTTTTAGAAAATACCCTTGATACACCGTGTCTGTCTACATTTTTGTTTGTCAGGATCTTCGACACGAAGACTTTCAGTTTTTTTCTCTTGGATAGTGATCAAAGATAAAATGAATGCTGCCCTTAAATCGTAAGACCCAAGATTCCAAACCTCCTTGTGTATCAAAGCGCGCTGTTTATCACTTATTTTCTTTCGGCACTTATTCCGACAATTAGGTAATTCCTTCATTTGACGTTTTCCAATAGTTTTCCCAGAAGCTGTCACATAAGATTGGCCAAGAATTCTTTTTAATTTGTTTTCTTGCTTCTTTTTTTTACAGGACACTGGTTGGTTTTGTTGTAGCAAAGAAATATCTCCAATGTTTTCAGGTGTCTCATTGTCTGGCGTTATAAGCATATCCACTGATGCATTAGGAACAGCAATTTCCATTTCTTAATGTTGTGTAAGTAAGCTAGGACTGCCCGGAGAGTAGTTAGGATCGGCCACAGGAATCGTTACTAGAAAAGTCACTTACTGTTTCATCTAAAATAGTTTGTTTGAGGGTTCCAGATGTACTTGGTTGTGGATTACTGAGTGCGTTTTCGTCATCTGTAAAAAACAACAATAATAAAAACTGATAACAGATTGGAAATTGTGATGTTTTTAAATATAAAAAAAAACTTTCTAAAGAGGTGTGGTATTCTCAACTAAAGCTATTAAACAGTTTTGCATATTACCCATTGTAATAAAATGATAAACTAACGTACATCAAAAAAACTTTTACCCCGACACAAATTACTGGGATAAGAGCCAACATACCTGTATTCTCATTCATTGCTGCACTGTCATTATTTATGGCGAGATTCTCCAATTTTCTGGCCCTTGAATCCATTGCGACACAGTTAACAAAACGTACACCACCACCGTCATACACAAACAAATAACAACTAATGAAGAAATGTGTATTTTTTTTGACTTAACTAAAATTTACCACTTTATTAGACCCTTAAAAAAGGGGGTAGGTACTTGAAAGTATTATAAGGAACAAAAACAGACCATTGTAAAAAACCACTTAAGTCAGTCAGCTTGCAGTATAAAAAAAACTTAAGTCAATTTAAGTAATTTTTGTCGCCGCTCGATGTGTTGATAAAACATAAGTTATATGGTACAGTCGGCTGTTGCGTCTAAATTAAGCGTCGGAGACTTACGTGCTTCTTCCAGTCGTCGGATGATACAAAAACACGATTGCTGTGACTTTTTAGAATTTAGCGCAAAAATTGACTTAAGTACTTTTGGCCGCCGTGTCTAGCATAGGATCATAGGCGTAAATTTTTATTTTTACGACAAAAAATTGTGTTTAATGAACCCTCTTTATAAGTAAGGGCAACAAAGGTACATAATCCACTTCATGATAAGTGTATGCTTTGACTTATCTTATACTCGATTAAGAATCAAAATGGAAATGCGTTTTCACCGCTGAGGACTGAGGACTAAGATTAATTATTTTAAGCGTTAATTACTTTTTGTTTTGTGTTTACAAAATTAGATTAAACAGTAAATAGATATCAGATCCAGTCAAAATCTAAAGAAACCAGGACATCCATAACCACACAATGGATGTATTGCTGTAGTAAAAATAGTTTTATGTGTATTGCTACTTTTTCAGGAGGATCCTAATCAGAAAAGAACCTTGCGGACTAAATTTAAATGTGATGATTAAAAGAGCTGACAGTGGAATCGGCGTGAGAATTTATTTCTTTCTTCCCGCATGCGTCGTATAAGGTGACTAGGTAAGGGAAAATGATCTTGAGAATCGCTATGGCTACCGACAGATGGTGGGATAACCATCAATATTCAGCAGATTGGTGGGCCGCACCGTCATGTTGTGAGATGTCTGGCTGGCACTACGACCGTCAGTCTACTTGCCAAGAATGGCGATTTTGGCAAATATTCCCCCTAGAACAACAGGAACTTCTGTAGCGGATTATTAGCAAGCTGTTAAGGTGAGATAAGAATTATTAGAGATAATTTTGAAACCGATTTAATAATTATGAAATGAAGATGAAGAGAAACGTTAACAGGTATTATTTTTTTGTGTATTTAAATATAAATACATAACGTAGTGTTTTATTATTATGTTAGAGCTGACTCTAAATTATAAGGTGACTTTGCGTGATGTGATTAAAGTAAGTAGTTACAGCCTATGTACGTCCCACTGCTGGGCACAGGCCTCTCCTCATATCTGAGAGGGTTTTAGGGCAAGGAAATGTCCGCTACGCTGCCCCATTGCGTGTTGGCGAACTTCACGTGTCTTGGAATATTTTTGTCCTTTTTATTAGTGATGTGATTAAAAAGGCCTATCAAGATTTTAAGTTATTATTTAATGCTCTTAAGGCTGACGATGAATAAGAAGGGTGACGTGTGCTCGACACAGTGTACCTGATGCTAAGTGACTGCTGTGGACTATAGACATCAATATTTAGAGTTGGAATCAAAATGAAGATGCGTTGTCACCCTTGAGGACTAAGATGGAATGCCTCGTTTCTAGTAAAAAAAAATCGTTTCACCATAAGAAACACAGCAACATTAAGCTATTATTTTACCCTGATATTTTGTGAGAGCATGGTGACCCCAATCCATTTGTCAAATAAATAATAACTAATCAAAATTACCAGCTTGAGGAAGGAGAGTGTACTGTCTCCCAGCGTCCAAGACAGTCACCACAAGGCTCGAATCAGGTAGCCCGCGAATAACAGCCGTTATGCCTTGATTCTCCATTTTCAGCTCAATTGGAATCCAAGGGAATATGCTGCCAGTTATAATCTTCATTACTATCTCATTTTACTGTGTGGTGTCAGTGAAATAGAATCCATCGCTCCTCTTTGGGTCTTTAATGTCGTTAGAGGTGAGTATGAAATACCCCATTTAGATCGCATGACTTCCAACAAGAAGGTATAACCATCATACTTACTCCAGGTGTCAATCACCCACACCTGTCTGCAGGTGTGGGTGATTGACATCTCACGTACCTTAGCGTTTGAATATTTGGACATAACTGTTCACTGCTGAGTATAGGCCTCCCTATACATTAGCTCACATGGATTATTTGCTATAGTTGACGCTTGGCCGACGGGATTTAACTGATATTTTACGTCGATATTCTGATAGATGGTTGTCTGTGGTAGCATAGGATGGGGCGTTCACCTTTCAACGCAAGTCATAGTACTTTAGCAATCATAGTTCGATCTCTGTTAACTGCTACCATAACCATAGAAGAAGAGAGAAGAACAAGCAAAGGCAGCAGCGTCGAAGGTGTGAGATGCATAGCGCTGTTATCGACAATCCGATTTCCAGACGCTAAACTTCTTTAATACTCTTATCTTTTTATTACAATATTCAGTCTTATTCATTATTAGTTTAAACAAAGATACCTGTCATAACATTATTATTTGTCAATTCTGTATTCTGTCTTTATAAAAACTTACTAAATTCCATATGTTCTAAACTTTATACGTTGAGTAAAACCTAAAATATTTCTTGGTCTTATCATCCTTCGTATAATAGGAGAGGATTATGTCCAGTAATGGTCTTTCATGAGCAATGACGAAGATGATAAAAATACACGGAATATTTTATATTACACTATGAGTAATAGAAAACTTATTAACGTATGTTGTGCCTATTGACTTACATTTCCTATTCTATTATAACTAGGACATTTAAGCTTCGTATTATACTTAGATATGATATAAAACACAGAAATTTAGAACTTGTAACTGTAATTTCTCCTCTGACTTATCTGCTGTCACATAGAACATAGAATATACGTTTCTAAATTTCTAAAATCACAAAAATTTTGTTTATGCCTGCTGCATGCTGGGCTGCAATAAATTTAAAGAATATGTTTTTTTATAGATTTATTGCTGTCGCACTGTGCGCGAATCTAGAACTACTGAAGCTCTCCAGTATTATATTATATTAGTCTATGACTGAACCTCTCCGTAGAGAGTAGTTGTGGTCCGTGTTCTAAAGCAAGAGAAACGACTGCAATTCGGATTAGTCCGATACCTATGATATTTTGTCACCCTTGTTCCTCCGTTCCTTCCCATTCAACAACATGATCACTTATTGATAGGGTTTTTAGAACTTAGTTTCAACAACTGGACCGATTCAATTTACTTCAAGAACAAATTATATGCAAAATGTTATATAATTAACATAAGTAACTTAAATTTAATCAAATGAACAATAGTTATTGTCAAATACGTTGTAGCTAACAGATGAAAAATATGACTTAACGAAAAATGTTTCACGTTATAGAAATAGATATCCCGTGGAATCAGAAAACGATGTAAGTATTTGTGTTTGCCAGTTATATAAACCCTTCCCGGCGTTAAAGCTTCTGTGGGTAAGACCCAGTTAATACAAGGACGATACCCAACTTAAAAGTAGTAGTAATATACGCAGTTTATAATAATTATGAAAACAACATGATCACTTATTGATAGGGTTTTTAGAACTTAGTTTCAACAACTGGACCGATTCAATTTACTTCAAGAACAAATTATAATGAATCCGGCTATATCTGTGTTTTTTAATTTTTTAAGTTTGATAATTTTTTTTGCTGGATCCGAAAATGGCGGTATAAATAGTCAATTTTTTTAATGTTAAAATAAATAATTAATAAACAATCATGGGAACATAGCAGTGAAAAATGATTTGCTCTAGTGTGGACTAAACGCTGCGCCGTCCGGATATCTTCTTAAACTATTCATCATACTCATATACAGGCTGGTCCAAAAGGTGACGTCCAAAAATTTTTTTTGGAATGCTGACCTTTCGGGATACATGAAAATACCCCAAGTATGTTCCGCGATTTTTCTTAGTTTACGAGATATGATTTTTTTTGTATTATTTTGAATAATGTCGACTTAGCGATTCAAAAATTTTTTTCTTGAAAATTCTGCTCTCTTTTCTACTTTTTTTATTCTTAGCGTAGTCTTCATGAGTTGGACTCTTTGACATAAAAAAATAAGCTGCCTACCATTAATACAAATTGCAAAAATTTTAATCGAAAACAAATTATGCAGATATGATTGAATCAAAGTTTAATTTTGAAATTTAACCTAAAAATTAAATAATGAGTTCCATGACTTTAAAGTAATTTTAAAAACTGCGCAAGACCCTAAGCTTTAGTTATAATATGAAAAAAGTGGTGGTCAATGGGCCTTTTTTAGCTAGTCGGCCTTTAATTGCACAGAGCCAAAAAGTTCAAGAATAATCGTTTTATTATGCACCTATTGTTTATTACTAAGGATAATTAGATTTTCATGGTATGTCATAATCTTTCATAATAAATAAAACAATTTGGTTTTTTAATACTTATTTTATTTTACAACCAATTCTCAAAGTAACCCCCCTCCTCCACTTCAATACACAGTCTACAACGCCTTAGAAAATTTTGTTTCAGTCTTCTAAAATCATTTGAATTTTGTCTGATTTTTGTTTCCGCCTCCGTTAATTTATCTCGCAGTTCTGCTTCGGTGTTTGTTTCGCTTGCGTACACCATCTCTTTGTAATATCCCCAGAGAAAGAAATCTATGGGGTTCAAATCTGGTGAACGTGCAGGCCAATGAATCGGTCCGCCACGCCCAATCCATCTATTGGGGAATCTTTGATTAAGGTGCTCCCGTACCTCTCTTGCATAGTGGCAAGGAGCACCGTCATTTTGGTAAATCATATCCCTTCTTGTCAATAAGTTTACATCGCCTAATAAGCCGTTTAAATTGTTTTGTAAAAAGTCTAAATATTGGGCTCCGTTTAACCTAGCAGGCAATTCAAAAGGTCCTATAAGTTCCCCGTTCCGTTCAAAAGGTCCTATAAGTTCGGCCATAGCGCGCGAGCTATGGCCAGAGCTTCTCACTCCTGCTTCCTTTGTTCGACACGTGGTATTTTTTGTGATCTGCAACCGTCTAACTGCCTATTACTATTATTATTCATTATCTCATTAACATTGAGGGGAAATTCGTTGTTTTTTGTGACCCATCTGTGCTACTTACTGAAGTGGTACTATCCCTAACCCGAAGATTTACATTTCATTTTATTTTATTTAATTTGATTAGATTCTATGGCGAACCTAATTATTTTTAGAAATAAGGTGTGTAATTAATAATGTTGAAAATTTTCGCCTTTCAAAATTAGTAACATACATGGGGTATTTTCATGTATCCCGAAAGCTTGGGTCTTGCGAATTTCTAAAATTAATTTAATCAAATTTTTTTTTTAGTTTAAATTTCAAAATTAAACTTTGATTCAATCATACAGATATAGTAGTAGGGCAGATTAAATGTTCTTGACTGGTTGGCGCTTATGAATTTTGGAATTTCGAATGTTATATTTTTTAAAATAGAAGAAACTCAACATTTGAGTATTGGCATGTGCCAATTTTAACATGTTTACATCAAACAGTCAAAGTTAGCAAAGTTTTTTATGTCTAGATTCATGAACTCACCCCAGAACAAAAATGGACTCGGAAAGTCTGTGAAGTATGAACACGTACAGGACCGCCCACGTCACTACATCAAATTTGATAGACCACAAATCCTCGCTAAAGAACACCGATTCCTTCTAAAGATGATTCGCGAGGCTATTGAAATCAAAAAACATCCTAATTTCAATAGAGAAGATGGCTGGGTACTACCATCTGCTTGGGATCCTATAATTAATAAAATTAAATCCCAATCTAAGTATACAACTACAAGACTTCAAGATACCATAAGTTCATACTGCGTAGATCGGAACAAAAATTAATAATTTTAATCTATGGTAACCGCAGTTAACTATGACATTTGGGCGAGATGTTCAATCTCAGTCCCCCGTGACCATTGGTGCCGTAAAGTGCTCGAAACGTCGGGTATATAAAAAAGTTGATATATGCGATAAAACCAGTATTATTGAAATGGTGTAAAAAAGTTGAATTACGACACCGTTACTGTTACAGCCTATTAAGGGGCTATAGTAAGTCAGCTCAAATTCTAATTTCGCCCCCACTTCCCCGCGCGTCGTATGCTATGTACCGACATGTTCGTAATTTTTTTTTATTTATTTATTAGGAAGCCGACATGATATTGTACAATGAAAAAATGTTTACAAATTTTATAGATTAATCTGAAGTTTAGTACATATCATACTTATAGGCTAACTTAACATGTTAAAGTAAAATAATAAGTAACGCACATTATTATTGAAAATCCTATCTATACCATATATCCTATCTATCCTATATATATGACTTATCTACTTATAGTAATCACTAATACTATAAGTAGATAGTTCGTTAGATACTTATTTTATTAGTTTTATCATATTTATGCCTGTTCCTTTACGCCAACCCAGTCGCTTCTTATTTTTATTACGGCTATTTCTCATTTTAATTTTACGTCGTCCTGTTGCGTAATGTGTATTCTGATCGTAAGTGACACAGCTTCCCCGTTCAAAAGCCGAAGCGAGACTAACCAGGCGGCAGGAAACAAACTTCAAGACGCCGATAGTTTAGGTAATTTCTTTTTACAGTGAAAATAATGGTAATTTAAAAAAAACATAAGTCCTGCTTTATAGTTAGTTCAGTTAGTATGCAAAGTTTCATGATGACGTTTAAAAAAAATGATCTAATTTAAAGTATTTTATGAATAACAGCGGTTTATTGTTCAATTTGGAGGTAAATTTGAATTTTTTTTTCTGTCGAGAAATATTTGTTTGTTTGTTGTTTTCGTCTAACAAATTTACCATATATATGTTTCAAAATTAATGCTTCAATATTTTTGGCACAACGGAGGAACTTGCTAAGCCATTTGAGGTAGTATTTTTAATATTTCCCCTTAAAGTTAACTGCCGAAGATCGACCTCCCATGGGAATATTTGCCATAGTTACCACGCTTGGCAAGCAGGATTGCAACCACAGTTATTTTATAAATTCGTTATCAGGAAGACCCTGCTGGCCATCTCCTGATTTGTTTCCCTCTGTCCGTTCTTACGACGCCCACGGGATGATATTGGGTAGCCGATATTCTTATACCACCGCTTTCCCTGGCCGAGCCGATCCATTAATGTTGCAACCATAATGTTAACATTGCAGTATCCATGTTTAATGTTAGTATTGGAGGCAATCAGAAGGATTTTCTGTCGTCGGTTGTAAAAGCCGGCGGGAATCGAATCCGAGTCGCTCGCGTACTGTGCATTTACAGCGAGCTGAGTGAGCAAGCCCTTTGACCGTGTAGTAGCGGTGTAAGAATATCCACTACCCCATATCATCCCGTGGTATCGTAAAAGGCGATATAAGGCGACAGAAGGCGGTAACTCACCAGAGAATCGCCTGCAGCATCTTCCTGAAAACAACAACAAATCAAAATTATAATACATCATTAAATATCAAAATTTGAAAAAAAAAATAAACTTCCTGCCAAGAAGCTTTGATGGTTATAGATTGCTTGATCACGATGAGGCAATCAATAGCCGTCAAGGCTCAGAAAAAATGTTCACTTTTTTAATACTCTACGTTATGTAACGAGGGATCAGTGACAATGCTCCGACAGTGGATTAAAAAGAAGAAAGCACATTTCATATTCTCCTATCTTGTACCTATAAATAGAGGTCAGGGTCTCCTATGCTTTGTTCTTTAGTAATCTTCTTTGATTTTTTTTCAGTATATTACAGGTATTATCTATGGACTAAAATTATGTATACGTAATTGTAATTACTCTAAGCTCTATACTTTGACTTACACTTTGACATTACGACAGCTAGGATAAATTTCTAGTGCAAAATGTTGTATAATTAACATAGGTAACTTAAATTTAATCAAATGAACAATAGTTATTGTCAAATACGTTGTAGCTAACAGATGAAAAATATGACTTAACGAAAAATGTTTCACGTTATAGAAATAGATATCCCGTGGAATCAGAAAACGATGTAAGTATTTGTGTTTGCCAGTTATATAAACCCTTCCCGGCGTTAAAGCTTCTGTGGGTAAGACCCAGTTAATACAAGGACGATACCCAACTTAAAAGTAGTAGTAATATACGCAGTTTATAATAATTATGATAAAAAAAGCCACGATAAATGAACGGAAACCATAAAATTATACTGTGTAGAACTGCACGTCAGAAGTGAAAACTTGTTATCATTATTTTTGCGTTGTTAAGAAATATTTTTAGGAAGTATTTTTTACTAGAAATTATAATTATCGAAATGAGACAAGTCCTCAGGTGTAATAACGCATCTGCATTTTGATTCTTAATCAAGGATAGATATTGATGTCTATGGGTCACATCACAGCGTAGACTTACTATCAGGACTGTGTGCTCGTTTTCAGCCTTATTCTACAAAAATGTCCAAAACTCGAATAAAAAGAAAAAAGGAAGAAATATATAGGTAGAATGATTTAAGACCTTTTCCTAATTTAAGTGAACCGTAACGTATGGCGAACATTCCCGTCATATCTTGATAATGATAAAGGTTGACATTTTTCTGTCTCGACCGGAACCTCCCTTTCTTTGTTTAGTAACGTAATAGCAACTACCATCAGGTAAGCTGTATGCTTGTTCGTCAAACGTGTCCTAAAAAAATTCTTCATACACGATATGCTATTACTGCCGAAAAAGTGATTCATATTTTTGCATCACCACGGCACTGCAAATAAAAATTTTAATGGAGCCAATTTGGGAATCGAACTATATACATGACATGAAGTTTGAGCAGTACCACGGTGACTGACCCAGAGATTTCTTACATTTTAGTAAAGTTTATAGGAAATGCAGATATGAAAGCTATTACACCAAGAAGAGAAAATTTAGATGTACACGAGAGCGCCGCGAATGCTGTCTTCACAGAAGAACTCTTTCTGATGAACATTGATTTTAGATTTTTCCAGAATTTGCAAAATCTTAAACAGCGACTTCCATCTTACAAAGTGAGTTTAATAAAAGTTTTTTTTTAACATTATCACTTCACAATACAACAGGACATCAATACAACAGTACAACAATATATATATATATATATATTGTTATAACATAAACACTCACGCCTGTCACCCAGAGGGGTAGGCAGAGAATACAGACTTCCATTTGGCACGATCCTGACACACCTCTCTCGCCTCCTTCTCATCCATACACCTCCGCATACATGCTCGTCGGTTAAGGGTACTCCTAATTTGGCCCGTTTTCAATAAATCGCCAATTTGGTCGATAAATTTTCGCCTAGGACGTCCCTTTCCGACTCTGCCATTCACTTCTGCAACGTAAATTTTCTTTGTCACTCTTTCCTCATTCATTCTTTCCACATGACCAAACCACCGAAGCATTCCTTGCTTAATCCTGGTCACAACATCATCTTGCAAACCACACTCTTCTCTTATTACACAATTTCTTACCCTGTCATTAAGATTCAGCCCTTTTTTTTGCGGATGGAAAATCATCTAATGACGCCTTTCGCTCTGGGTGGAGCGTAAGGGAGTGTCAGACTTTTACTGACTAAAAACCATCCGTGTTCCTTCAGTGCCCTTACGTTCCGGAGCCGCGGTATCTCTTTCGAACAGCCCGCAGCCCCGGCAGGCGTCGGCCCTTGCGGGCCCCTTCACGCTGCTGACAGCTCTTTGAGGCGCGCGTGGAACAAAACGCGCCGTCGACACGGCCTGTCGTCGTTAGACGGACGGACGGCGAGCTACCCATTGCTCGCCGTCCACAGGTCCGCGCCTACGGTGGCCGGGGGCCACGACGTAGCCCCCGACGCCCGGGGCGTCTCCCGCGGCGGCCGGGGAGGAAAGCTGCTGCTCTCTCCTTCTCCCGCTCCGCCACCTCCTTCGCTAGCATCACTGCTTCGCAGAAGGTGGTGACGGCATCCCATTCCGTCTCGCTCCGGACCATGGCTTTGACCAGGGCCGGACGCGAGAGGTCGCCGCCGTCTATCGCCGCTACGAGGACACGGCGGTGCTCCGCCCAAGCAGGGCACACCTCTACGGTGTGTTCCACCGTGTCCTCCGGTCCATCCTCGCAGTGGGAGCACCCGGGCGTTTCCTCCCGCCCGATTCGGTGCAGGAACCTCCCGAACACACCGTGTCCGGTGAGGACCTGCGTCAGGCGGAAGGTGAGAATGCCGTGGCGTCTCTCAAGCCACTCCTCAAAGAGGGGTCTTATCGCCGCTATAGTGGCCTGCCCAGCACGGGGTTGCGACAGTCGCTGTCTCCATGTCGCCATGAGATCGTGCCGGAAGTCTGTCCGCTGCGCGACAACTTGCCGCGGCAGCGGGGTTTCTCCACGGCATAGGGCCTCCGCGCGCCATTCGTGCAGGCGCGCGAGGACTATCGACTCCAGATCCCACGGCGGCAATCTGGCAAGGAGGCTCGCCGCCTCGCGGGAGATCGTGCGGTAGCCGCGAACCATTTTCACGGCAATCACCCTTTGGGGCGCGTTCAGGTGGTGGACGGCAAGCCGCGCCAAACCACGCGCCCACACCGGGGCCCCGTAAAGGGCCATGGACCGCACGATCCCCGCGTAGAGCCTCCGGCAGGAGGCGTTTGGCCCTCCCAGGTTCGGCAGGAGCCGCCTGAAGGCAGCCCCGGTCCGTTCCAGTTTGGGAGCCAAACGTCGGAAGTGCTCAACGAAGTTCCATCGGCGTCGAGTCGACGCTGAAGTCGACCTAGGACTCGTCCTCGACGGCCGTACCCCAATACCCCTCCTACCATCACTGAGGATCCCGGTGGTGGACTGGTGGACCGAGGACCATTGAAGTGCATGGCCTCAGACTTATGCAGAGCCACCTCGAGACCCAGTTGCCGAATCCTCTCAACGACTATCGCAGCCCCGCGTGTCATAGTTTCCGCCGCCGCCTCGTACGACCCCCCTTGTGCCAGTACCAGCGTGTCGTCAGCGTAGCAAACTACGCTGACGCCGGTAGGGAGGTCGGCGCGCAGCACCCAGTCCTAACCGATGTTCCACAGAGGTGGCCCCAGAACCGAACCCTGTGGGACACCGCACAACATCTCTCGCCGGTTCCACTCACCGTTGCGACCGGGGTAGATGACGGCCCTGTCCGTCAGGTAGTCCCCCTGTTTGTTTAGTGTGAGGGCTCTCACGCGCATGATGTCGTCCACCGTGGAGCGCCTCTTGCGGAAACCAAACTGGTGTTCCGCAAGATCCGGCCCCGTCCCCGCAAGGTGCTCGGCGAGGCGGTTTGCAATGACTCTTTCAAAGAGCTTGCCCACCTCGTCGAGCAGCACCACGGGCCGGTATGCGGACGGAGAGTCCGCAGGGCGCCCCGGCTTCCGAATGAGGACTAGCTTCCCCGTCTTCCAACGAAGCGGGAATTCGCCTCTCTCCAAGCATGCGCTTAGGAGCCCCTCCAGTCGGGGCCCGAAGAGCCTCCGAGGCCAGGACCCAGGCTTTACCAGGCAAGCCATCGGGTCCTGGGGCGGTATTCCTGGCCTTGAGCCTACGTACCGCCACTCTCAGGTCTACCCCGGTCCCTTCCGGGATGTCGTCGTAAGATTCAGCCCTAACATACTCCTTAACGACCGCATTTCTACTGCGTTCATTCTACTCTCGTGCTTCTTCTGCCACACCCAACTTTCACTACCATACGTTAAAGTAGGGACCAACACAGCATTTTGAATTGCCATACGTGCCTTTTTCGACACATTTTGACTCTTCACAATAGAGTGCAGGGCCCCATTTACTCTATTTCCCGCATTCACTCGTCGTTTTATATCCTTATCATATCTCCCATCCCTGCTAAATACGCAGCCCAAATATACAAACTCATCTACTTGCTCGATCAACTCCCCTTCTATTCTTATTTCACAAATCGTTTTACTTTCTTCTCTTTCAAAAACCATAACCTTCGTCTTACTTGCGTTCATTTTCATACCCCTTTCTTTTAATGATCTGTTCATTAATGTAACCATCATTTGCAACTCGGCCGCCGACGACGCAGGGATAACTTGATCATCGGCGTACAAAAGGAATTTGACGTTTAACTCACCCATTCTTAATCCGCATTCTTCAACTTTCAAATTTTGCAAACAACTGTCCATAAATAGGTTGAACAGCCACGGGGAAGCCACACAGCCCTGTCTGACACCTTTATGGATGTCAAACCAGTCCGAGTAGACCCCGCTGATCCTAACACAAGCACTAGAGTCCCTATAAAGGGACTCCAATGGCTGAACCAAGCCAGCGCCCAACCCAAATGACTTCAGTGTTTGCCATAGCACATCCCTATTCACTCACTCTGTCATATATATATATTGACTGCCTCGGCAAAATCGATCCGGAGGAAATTACAACAATATAACAGTACAACAATACAACAGTATAACAATACAACAGTACAACAATACAACAGTACAACAATACAATAATACAACAATACAACAGTACAACAATATTACAGTACAACAATACAACAGTACAACAATATTACAGTACAACAATACAACAGTACAACAATACAACAATACAACAGTACAACAATACAATAGTACATTCTACTACAGTGTATTCTGTTACATCGTCTGTAGTGACGAAATAAACTACACCTATAACATCTCGTGCGTGTTGTAGAGGCAACAGAGGGAAATAGAAATGGTGATGGACAGCAGCAACTTCCTAATTGTATCATTATAAAAACAGCGGTGGCCAAGCCGCTTGTAAAGTATGCCAACTTGTGGCAAGTAATTAGCGGTGGACTTTTGATAAACTGGATTGAATGGATAATCCCTATTGCAATCCACAAGAGACCCTTATAGCCCATCTCATTTCGTATTGGTAGAGCCATGCTGCGGCTATATTAGCGGTATTTAGTTGTAGCATGAATGGGCCGGCTCGACCGGAGAAGGACTACGTTCTCACAGAATATCAGCGTCAAATAGCAGCTTAACGCGTGCTTCGTATGGTAAGTTTAGAGAATCGGAGAGAGACCCTTTTTACTGGAAAAGAGGCATTCCATCTTAGTCCTTACGGGTGACAACGCATTTGTATTTTGATTCGTAATCGGGCATAGATGTAGATGTCTATGGGCCACAGCAACCGCTTATCATCAGGTGGACTGTGTGCTCGTTTGTCACCCAATCCTATGAAAATAATGAATGAAGGAATAAAGGAGGATACATAATATTATATAGAACAGTTGGTAACCCTACATGAAACCAAACTTAAAACAAAGGTGCGTTGTCACCTCTGGGGACAATAGATTAAGAGCTCTTGTTCTACCCAGGAGTCCGTAGTGTAGGTAGGTTTTACCTTCATACTTATTTCTGTCGCAAAGAATCAGCGCATGCACTGTTATGTGCCGGTTAAAGCCTAAAGAGAACCGGTATAATTACGGGCTGTGAGGCTTCCTGTTTTAGATATAGCGGCAACAACGCATTTCTAGCCGTCTACTGTTTAAAGTAAGTTGTGGTGTTTAATGGTGTCCATGGTCTGCAGAAGCCACTTACCATCAAGACTATAAGGACGTTTTAAAAAACACAACACCTTATTTATTTCTTTCGCTAAGTGGTAGTACACCAACCTTTGTATTTGGCCTGAAAGAGTAAAATAGTATAATTATAACCTGTCTCCTTTTATCTACGGGTGTAGAAGTCATAGCGTACTTCTTCGTTGGAAGTTTGTTGCTGGTGTCCTTAGACTGCAGTATTAACTAACCAAGGTGAACTGTTACCTAGATTGTCTCTCATAACAGCACATACTCCAAACACGTTTTCCTTAACATATTATCCATAATACATCATCATCATTACAGCCCTTTACAATGCCACTGCTGAACATAGGCCTCCCTCAAGGAACGCCACAAAGCACTGTCCCGAACAACCTGCATCCATCGACCTCCTGCATCTCTTACCAGGTCGTCACTCCATCTAGTGGGTTGTCGCCATAGAACACTATAATACACAATAGAATGGCTGTCAAACTTATATTGTACGTGATTTGGCGTCGCCGGGAGCACACATACATGCAATTACGTCGTATTATCAGTTAATCACTACTACAAACCCAATTCGCTGTGTTGACAGACTGATTTTAACACATATTTATTTGTAAATAGCGTGCAATTGGCATTTTCTAAATAATTTGCATGCGAATTTGGAAACGATTGTAACGTCAAAGCACATCCCGTGTTGACGTTTATACATGTTAATTGACGTTTTAGTGGCATTTTAGTAGCTACACAGGCTCCGCCCACTCCCCCGTTCTATTATGTATGTGTTATAGTATTCTATCCTCCACTCTGAAAGAGTACTATGGGTGTCGCCTACCGGTAGGCTGTCACTCGAGAACCTTTTTTCCCCATCGGTTGTCGGTTGTTCGAGCTATATGGCTGCCACTCGAGAACCTTTTTTCCCCATCGGTTGTCGGTTGTTCGAGCTATATGGCCGGCCCATTGCCACTTCAGCATTTCCATAACACATAATCTATCTTGTTTTTTTCAGTTATGCAACGAACATAGATGTCCATCAATGGCGAAACGTCTACACGATCATAAACATAAATACCACTCTCCGAACACTAACCATGTACAACGACAAGACGGAGGCTGCATGGCTGTGAGTAATTTTCTTCTCTATTCTATTATATAAAAGAGTTATGGATCAATGAAACCACCTCACTGTTCTTATGCTTGTTGCCTGATTTCACATGTCTTCGAAATATTTTATTCTTCACTTTCAGTTTTTTTTTCTTTACCACCGACCACGTGGTAACTTGGCACTTAAAGTTGCAATTAACGGTTTCACTGATGTCAACGAGCGCTTAATCAACTACCACTTCTAACCCTTTCAGATATGACTGGAGGATAGGCTCAATAGTAGAGCGTACATAGTACGGTAATTGTGCCCGCTCTGCTGCTGTATTTTGATTTTATATCATTCAATATTAATCTTCAGGGGTGACAAATCATACCATTGCCTTGTCACCCCTGAGGATTTATCAGAATAAGTTCAATTTTTTGTACGTACTAAAAGTTTTGACAACTTTTAATCATATAGTAAATTATATATATATGTATCGATACACAATAATGCTCCTGTTTATTTTCAGGTTATTGTACAAGAAACTTGTGATCGTCCTATTCAAACAGTTTCAGACAGTATCAAAGATGCGGAGACTGTTTATAGCTTAACAGATTTCGCTAAAACTGTTAAAGTAGAAATGGAAATGCTTAAGAATGGAGTAATTAACGGATCTGTAATAAGTAATTATATGTTAAGACGCTCCCAATCTTGTAACACAACCGTATCATTTAAAAACTTTTACAAATATCGTTTACGGCACGGAATTCTGCAATGGCTACGTGAAATTCCTATTGAGTCTGATATCAATTCAACTGCTAAAATTTTAACCGAAAGTATTATTAATAATTTAATAGAGAAAATTAACAAGCTGTCAGTTGAAGCAAACTGTGATGATTATGAAATGAAACTTAAGTCTTTAATAGAATATTGCTTAAATTCTTTGCCCTCCCTGTATCATAGTGCTAAATGTGATAAGATGAAACATATATTGTTGGAAAGTCTTATGACAAGAATCATGGTCCTCAATGAAAAGTATCTCAACCTTTCTATTGATAACATTTTTCAACATAAGAATTTTAATATCCTTGAAAATAGCTTCAGTAACACAGTGATAAACGGGACCACGCTTACAAAAATGATTAAAGCAGAAATTTCAAATTGGCTTAGATCTAAGCAATTTAAAAGACATTGTGGGACTCCTATAAATACAAATCATGTTACTATGATGCTTATGAACCAGCTGTTACCATTTCTGTATGATAAAGAAACGAAGGCTTTTAAATATTTGATTAGAGGTGGAATTCTTGAAGTATTAGAACGGTTATCATTGACATTCGATCTCAGTAACAATCGTATACGTCTTAATGGTCTTGCAAGCGAACTGACAAACAAACTCTTGAATACACGAAAATATTATGAACAGTCGATAAAAAATGGCAATATTTATTCTGACTTATCTAAAACTGAGTTATTATCTAAACCTAAAAACATGCACTTAATTGTACAAAACATGTGACCACAGACCAAAAGCAGTACTGAATACGAATACCTAAAATAATTTTAATGACAAAAGTAATAAAATGTACCATTGAACGCAAATATGAACTCTTTTTATTGCAATTTCTATCTAATCAACCATAAAATTGCTAAGTTCGAGTACTGTATTCCAATTATACAAAACAATTTTAAAATCTCTTCCTATATCAGGTATATAATTATCAATAAGCGATATGAAATCTAATAAAATAAGTTTCTAATCGTAAATAGGAAATAAAGAAATTTTACTACCCAAGTTATATGTCTGAGAAAGGAACTTTATCGTGAAATGTGAGATGCGAACTCAGATAACTTCATCTGAGGATGCGAAATGTAAAGAGCGTTTGAAAAATGAAATCATACTTAACATGATAACATCTCCAGATACTTTGAATCAATAATAAATATAAGAGTTCAAAAAAAACTTAACACCGTGCTGTGCAGCTGTGATGATCCTGAAAATTATTTTCATTTATCCTCGTAATCCTTATCAGAATACTACTAGGATAAAACTATTAACCTATTGTATTGTCATCAATACTTGATACAAGTGTAAATTTTCAAGTGAATTGGCTGTTTACAAGTTGGTGAAAATTACATTAAAAGATTCCGTTACATAGACAGATACACGCGAAGCTAATAATAGCGTTAACTAAGTAATTCAATTACGAAAACGCAATGATGCCTGTTATTATGACATTCAAGCAACATGAATATGACATGATAAAAACAACCAATAGCTGTAAACATTTTTTGGCTCATATTAATATTTATTTGAATAATTTATATTAACCATGAAAAAAAGTAGATAAGTATGACATTTAAAACGGGGGATTCTGTGTCGAATAGTTAAGAAATGAATTGCAAGTACTACATTACACTAATATCGAAGTGATTAAATCTGTCTTTAGACAATTTACCCTCCAAAAAGACAATTAGAAACAATGAAAATATATATTGGTAAAATATTTAGCTAGAATTTTTAGGACGTTTAAATGCAAAATTACAATTTTATAATGTAAGGGTAGATTTATATGGGTCAGCAATTTTGAATCAATGTAACTTATTGGAACCATTGCAAAGAACAATTGAATAAAGCAATGCTTCATGATTGCTACACAATTTTAATAAACGTAGTGGTAACTATTTTTTTAAATAGAAGAAAAAGAAAAAATATTAAAAAGATCGTTAACAAGATAAAAGTAAGATATTAAATAATAAGGGAGGTTATACTTCAAGTATGATCATAAGAGACCTGAGGAGGAAATAAAAGAGTTTTTACTTAATTACTTACAAGACAATGATAAAACATGCTAACTTCATTATGAAATCAACAAAAAAATCTTTATAAACTTTCCTTATGCTAATGATATCGATATATCTATCTTAATTTTTATGACCTTGGTGATCTTTTACGACATTCTTGGTTATAATCTTCTACCAATGCAAGAGAATATGCACTAGAAAAAGATCGAGAGATACACCACATAGTTGAGGCTAGTAAAGATGACAAGATAGGTCAACATCAAATATTGTATTCGCGGGTTAGACCTGACCTGACTTGACGATCAAAATCCCTTCAGTGTATTTGTTCTAAGCAAAACAGATCCGTAAGTTCTTACGACTTAATGGAACATAATATTATGGGCTCGTATTGCATTCATTTTTTTATATTAATGTTAATTTTTTTACTCGAATGTACAATAAAATCATCTCTTTATTTACTGTATTTGTAAACTTAATAAATGCAAACGATTTGAAGTCATACTGGTTATTGATTCTAATTAAATTAAATTCTGCCCACTTCATAAGCCGTATAAATATAATGGAAAAAATAGTTTTTGAATGTGAATATGATTAGATATTCAAAAGTTTTCAAGACTGTTTTAGGCCTTCCTTCTGTACCCTTCTCTAGAAGATACTACACGCAAAATCGCAAAAAAAAATAACATTATTTAACAAATTTTAAGATATTTTTATTTCATACTTTTAAACGAAACCGGGACGGGAATAAAGCATTTAAAAAACTATTTTAATTCACAATTATATTTTGTACTTAGATTATTATAGATTAGACTATTGTATAATTAGAAATAGAACTAGATCTAACAAGACTGTATAATATAGTAAGGATATGGTAAGGACCTGTTATGATTCGGGATTGACTTCGACAAATTGCGTGTCCGACAGGTGATCGGATATATAGAGAATACTGTCGCATATATCCCCTAATATCGGTAATGCTCGGTGTTGTATGACTATGCCAGCAAAATAATATGAATTAAACACTGAGATTGTTGAGTTGTACATGAAGAACTTTACTAACCCTTTTATTTTGTAAGATTACCTTTACCGTGGCAAATTACCGTGTAACGACAGTGTAAGAATATCCACTACCTCATATCATCTCGTAGGTGTTGTAAGAGGCGACAGAGAGAAAAAAATCAGATGATCAGGTGGAATTTGTGCTCGTTTATCACCCCATTCTATAGAAGAAAAATAAAACTATTATGTGGGCAATATGAACATTTCTTTCCATGCGGGTTTTGTACTCGTGGCCCCAAAGTGTCACAGTCACATGCCTAGCCGGTGCGTTACCAAGCCGGTATAGATCCTAAGCTCCGGTAAATAATTGCCCCAAAAACAGACATAGATAGGATATAGGTACACACACACACACACACACACACACACACACACACACACACACACACACACACACACACACACACAACGCACACACACACACACACACACACACACACACACACACACACACACACACACACACACACACACACACACACGCACACGCACACGCACACGCACACGCACGCGCACCCGCACGCGCACGCACGCATACGCACACACACGCACACACACGCACACGAGGGCACACGCCGTCATATTATTTCCATTTCTTTGCTGTGAGCATTACGAAACACTAAGTGAATTGTATGGTTGTTCGGCGGTGATAAGAGAGGGTCACCAATAAGCCTTAAAAGAATGAACAGTATTCCATACACGATCGAACTTACGTCTTTTGAAGAAAAGTGAAGAGACACGCTTGTGTTTTCGAGGCCTTGAATCCAGATTGGCATCGCCACATTGGGAGATGTCTCCTCGATTCGCACACTTGATTCCGATTGGTAGAAGCATTCGGCTGATACCTCTCCCCAACTTTGCTGTTGTCTGCACAACCATAGGTACTGGGTATAAACAGACCATTAGTATGAAGCAGGAAGAGAGTTACATAGAGAACGTACTCCCACAGAACTCCGACATTAGTCGTTATAAAGTTGGACGAAAAGCCCTTAACGATGTCTAGCAAAGATCGTGAAGGTGGCCGTGGTAAACTATGACATTGGGACGTCAAACACCTCGGTCCCCCTGTGACCACGGGTGCTATAAAGTACTCGATACGTCGGAAATTTAAAATAGGTTGTTTAATTGATTTAAATGTGTAGTGTTCGCGTAAACATAAGAAATTATTTCGTAGAGACCCTTCACTCAGAAAGTCTTTTACCCAAACCTTCAGACCAGGGATAAGCCAAAAGATGGAAGTTTGCCCAAAAAGTTAACTTGCCAAAACCTATCATAGGTCTTCAAGTCATAAAGGGAAACAGCAATTTCTTAGAATATATTCTTCCCATTGCTAAAAGCGTTAGAGAGCAAGGAAAAGTTCGCCTTACTGCCCCAAAGCGAGTTAGCACGCTTTACAAGTCGTTGAATTGTATTTTGTTTGAATTTCTAAGACGCAAAGGGTTTTTAATGTGTTTTCATTTGCCGTCAAACATGTGGTAATAATCGGTACTTAAAATTATTGCAAACAATGATTTCAAGGATCGAGATCAGTTTGCCCGCTTAATATGGATTTTTTATGCTAGCGTTTAATCCCTGAGTTATTACGGTTCAGTTCAGTTACGACCTATTTATAGCGTATTATACCTACGTCAATCGTAGTACAAAATATTTAAAAATATATTTGGGAAATCCAAAATTGCAACGACTCACGAGCGTTTTATTTAATTTTGATGAATAAAAAAATTGTATTCCTGAAGTTTTAAATACATTATTTCTTCTTCTTTAAGTGCCTCTCCATTACTGAAGGTCAGCAGTCATCCTTCTAAATTCTTCTTTGTTCATGGCTAGCCTGAACAGATCTTCAACTTTCTTTATCCCAGTCCATTTCCGGATTTCCTTCTACCAACATTTTCCTTCTACCACCACCTCTTTTACCCGCTACTTTGCCCATCACAATAGTCTGCAGCAGTTGGTAACGTTCATGCCTTAGCACGTGTCTTAGGTACATTATTTACGTGTTTTAAATTTAGTGCTCTATTAGTTTAACATTTAGTGTCATCTACAGGGGAAACATTATTAATGTTTACTAAAATAAATCAATTACACAAAGTATAAAATCGATATAGGCTGTATGGTACATTTGCCCTTTGTCTATAAAGGGCAAAAAAAGACGTGTGGCACTCGGGGACTGCCGCGGTAAAGCTACTGCATAGCATTTTGTATCAACTTATGCAATTATAATTATTAATATAAGGACTACGTAAATATTCAGTACAGCAAGATTGGAAGAAAAATGACGTCTAAATATTTTTTCGTATTTAGTAAACGAATAACTAGTTGGTAAATTAATCATGATATATATCTTTATTTTTCGCCGGAGACTAAAATGATATTGCTTTTTTTCGTAACTGCAGATTCTGTGGATTTATTTCATTATTTTGAACAATATACGAAATTTAAGTGACTAAAATTAAATCTAATCTGAACCAGAATCATAAAAACTGTATTATTCGTGCTAAACGAATCTAATAAATATCTGTTATTTTTGTCTCCTGCGAAAAAAAAACAGACTATAGGAATCTATCGAATACCTACATAAACAAAATATCACCTATAAATAAAATATTACAAAACGAAATAACTAATAAGAGTGGCAACGTCGCACTATACAAAGGA